TCACACACTCAAGAGGCTCCGAGGGGACCCGCAGTCGTGGTACTGACCTGCCGGACAATACTCCGACAGCGCCCGGTCACACACCCACATAAAAACGCGTTGCAAGCAGACCGCAACGCCATTAACATCACGCTGACGACGGGACAAGGTCAGTCCCGAAAGCTCCGTTTTAGTGTTCGTGTACGATTAAACAGTTTTCACTCTTAACTCGCACCGACAACCAAAAGCAGGAAAAAGCCGTAAGTACCATCATGAAATTTAATTCCTGTTACCATAGAACTTCAATCTTCAAACAGAGAAGTTTAAGTTTAAATCACGAGATTCTAATTAATTTCCTGCATTGATTTTCTGAAACCCAGGGGTAGCTAACAACACCCCGTTTTTTAAGCTACATGCGTCCATACCTTACTGAAGGAAACTCCATGACTTGTTTTAAAACAAGCACAGTGAAGTATAACTTTTATTTCTGTTCTTCGATTTTCTTGACATAGCTTAACTACAATAATGCTGTCTCTACTCTGGGCCGCATGCTCCAGCGCAGCTGAGATTTTACCAAATTTTCCGTGATAGTTTTTGATTCAGTTTTTGTGGTCTTCCTTGTCTTTTTTCTTTGTTGATCAACCCAGCTTTTCTTTTGCGTTTATACAACTTCCCGCGTCAGAAAGCCATTCACTAAATCTTTTTTCTACTGTGCGTCCTGTTTCACCACTGCGTGCAGTCGAGCATTCGCACGTACTTTGTGTACCAACCTTTTCTGTCTGCTGTTTTTAGTCAGTCGTTCCTTAACACTGATCTTACGCAGTGTTCCCCAAGCTCAGAGTAGCCATCGCCTCTTTCAGAGCACTGACCTCATCACCGCTCCCTGATCTTATTGGCCAATGTCTTGTCAGCTGGTTAGCCAACGCCTCCCCTGACCATCGGAAAGACTGTTGGAAAAAGGTGGTGAGGTGATGCGAGGATGTGCTATCACAAATACCTTTGCCTAATATCAGGGTAAACTGCAGACCAACAATTGCCCGCGCGATTTCCCTACCCAAATTGCGCGCTAGGGCCTGCTATTCATATCGCGTGACTTATTCCAGCTGCTGGAGCACTTGAGGCTCACGTGCTGGCAAAGCGTTGTTATTCGTCTGCACCTGGATGCTACCCTATGCATAAGCTTCTACAAAAAACTTCTGTTCGCAACTTTTCTAAGATCACGCAGATGTCCTACCACCTCTTAAAATCTCCTATCGCCTCCTGCAAAGTTCCTCCCCCAGAACCTTAGCACTGTCCTTTGCACTCCATCGCCCCGCAGAAATTTCAAACCGTCCCCCAGGGAACCGTTGATCTGACGTTTGATGCTGGCTTGAAAAAGTTGTTTAAATCTGAGATGTTAGCTAAGCTTTTGATCCTTCCTGACCATGAGGAGAGACGTGGCAGAGATTTGTTTTGGCACTTACCCAGTTTGCTTCAATCACGAATTTGTTTTCTTGCGTATAGTTGAACACACTAGGTGTCTGAGACAATCATTTTTGCCTAGAGTCCTTTCGATGTGTCTAAGATCATCGTGTAGGAACTCTTCGTTGCAATGGTTAAGTGCCCTACATACCGCATCATTCACTGTACCAACGAAAACTGATTTTATTCCATGGACATATACTTAAATTGGAACGATACAGAGATTAGCATGGCCCCTGCGCAAGGATGACATGCAAATCCGTGAAGCGTTCCAAAATTTCTTTTTGTCCAGCGGGTTCTTACCGATAGTGGTTTAATTAAAATCCCGCTTCGGTATCCCCACCCACGCGGTGCAGGAGCAGGCCGTTACGTAGCCTGGGGACACGCCCTGGTTTCGCAGGCTCCGCGAGCGTAATTCTTCGCTGCCCAGTGCCCACTAGGCGTGCGGCAGGCATCCCCACCTTGCCGCCCTTGTCCTACGCGACCTCCACGTGGTCAGAATGCAAGTACTTGCGACTGCTTTGCAGCCAAAGGAAAACCAACAGAGTAGGGCTGCCTGAGCGGGAACCATGCGTCGGCATGGTGGCCCACAAATGCCAGCTCACCATTCGCACTGATCGGGCCGTCCAGCCAGATCAGCTCTGGGACAACAATTGAACGAGGTCGATGGAGCCGGAAAGCGATCCCGTGCGGACGAACCTGTCTCCGGAGGCAATCAGCGCTGCTGGGCACGGTACCAGCGGGTCACAACGGCCGCTATCGAGTGTAACCCCAGGCCAGCGGCCGAAGTTGCAGTAGGCGAGCCTTCGACGTAGAACCGACTCTGGTTTAGTGGCGTCAAAACGCAAGTTACGTTCATTTTTGCGTTCGCAGTGTCCACGTTGGTTTCTTTCCCTGAACGATGAAATTACTGCTAATAAAATGATGGTGGGAATCGAAACGCAGGTATTGCTTTGAATTTGTCACCATTGTTCTAATTTGGTTTCTTCCTCGGATGATCAGTGTAGAAAGGGTAACCTGTCGTTGTGCTCTTCCTGCGCAGTGAAGCAGATGGTATTCTGGAATAGGCCGTTTAGCTGGTTTAGGAATTCCCCTCCGCTTCCACTTCTGATAACCACGAAATTGTCGTCCAGGCATCGTTTGAGGAATTTTGGATAATGAATTAAATTGCTCGTAGTGAAAGCCATTTCTTCTATTAACAGGTTTCCCTGAAGAACTCTGCCAGGGTTGGCTATAGGGGGCCCCCACTGGAATTCGTTTCTCTTGGTGAACAAAGTTTCCTTGAAAATGGAAGTGATTGCCGTCTTTCATATAGAATCTTAATTGCTGAGTCACGTGTAAAGGATTTAGTTATTATATTTAGCTATATAACTAACGGATTTCACATGAATATACAATGAAGACTTACACACGGTTTACAAGGAGCCATATTTTCAATTGCATTATATTCATAGTAACTACTGCTGCGTTCAAATAGACTTCAGCTAATCACAATTAAGACGCAAGAGCACCACGGAAACCATGCTGAAGCTTCCCTTTAAGAAAACAGTTTGGTTCGGCTAATTTATTAATAGCTTATTGATACTTTTCAGATCTATGCCGGTGTCTTGTGACATTCTTTGGAAACATTTTTTACTCTTTTAGGGGTTTTTGTCAGTTGTATAGTAAGTTTTATTATCCCTAGTTTCCAGGACAGCTCTTGTCCGTCGATAGCGGAGAAGGAGAAGTGCAGACTGCACGGTAGATCGATAAAGCTGTACGTGCGTGACACAGTCAACCAGCGCAGGGAACGTGGAGTTTAATAAAGCTTTTGTGATTATAAACTTTGTTTCCAAATCCGTGTGTCTGTCCAGCGTCGTCGTGACGTCATCTTGTAGGAATCAAAATGAGCAACATGAAACATTTGCACTTTTTAACAGTTGTTTTCTTCTTTAAACTTTGCAACTTGAAAACCTTTCCCCCAAGCCACAGCGAGTCCACACAGAATTTCAGAGATAGACGGTCGCGCTAGGGTAGCGTTTGTACGTCTGTCAATAAACGCTATCCACAAAGGTGACAATCCGTACATTTCGTGAATACAAATGTATATGCACCGTTACGAAGTACAACATTTATGAAAATGATCCCATTTTTTACTAACAATTGGGAATTATATCTTTTTCAACTCTTACTTTGCTGAAACTGAAGAACTCTGCTTCAAGATGACGGAGCCTATGGTTCATAGAGAGCAGCAAGTCCTTGTCAGCTCAAATTTTCAGTAATATGAGGGCTGGGATACAAGATTCCATATTCTGATTACTCTACAAAACAGCTGAAATTTTGATATCATGGAAGCCTGCTTCAGAATGTTTACTTCTTGTTCTGCAAATTGCAGTCTTTATAGTTTCTGTGGCCATCCATCCGTTGGTCATATCGTTGCAGGAATAAGCGACTGCGAATTAAAACCAAGTATTTTAGAAAGAATGTTAATTTCTGATGCTATATAGCAAGGAGTTGCGTTTCAAGATAAGAAGGGTGCTATGTATTGAATAGAGCAGATGTGCATGATTATAATCGCGCTTCTTATTTTCCGACTTCTCACACGCTCACGCGCTCTTACATCCTTTTGTTAGCGCAGATGGTTATTCGGAAATTAGCACTATAAAAACGCTATATCTATCAGCATAAGTCAGCAGTACGTTGCGTAGTCGTCGACCTGTTGCCATCTTATCTCCCCGCTGGAATAAAGGTTTCGCTTGGTGCTTCGAATTGTGTCGTTTAGCTAAAGAGCTTTAGGACACAACAAAGGGGACATAAGTATTCCCAGAACTGCTTTCTGATAATAAGAGTCGCGAATACCTACTTGCTTTACTACCGGATACATTGCAATGCAAAACTTATGCACTTAATGTGCATGTTATATCGTGATAACACGAAGGTCACGCCATGCATCACAAGCACTTGAGTGTTCACTATCCCCACCATACAGCCGTGCTGCTATCAATCACCAGGATTTCATGCCTGTTTTATACCATAGGCAGTTGCTTGCTTCTGTGAGTAGCTGAAAAGTGTCAGTTCATTGATTATTGATCGACTAAGCGTAGAAGTCCCTTAACTTGAAAGCCTGAGAAAAGGTGCCACATGTCGCCCATACAGAGCTTCTGTTATACTGAATATTTTGGCAAACATATAGCTTCAAGAGTGGCAGTCGGTATGGAATTTTCAGTGAAAGTTTTCCTTCTAAGTATAGCTTGCAGCAAGAAGGAAAAATCAAAGAAATCGAAGGCAGTTGCACAGCGGTTACTGGACATTCAGGGCAGCGTTCAATTGCGTGTTTCTAATCAGATTGCAATTACTTGAATGGCAACACCACAGCTCCCACAGTCACGCTACTTCTGATACACAGGCTAAGGTGGACTGGCATCTACACACAGCAGTACCGATTATTCGCTGCAGATTGCTTTTCATTTCGATTTTCCTTTAAGCATCTTCCAACCTATGCACAATGCAATAACTGGAGTTGATTTCATTCCTCTGTACGGAGACAACTCATTGCCAAAGAGAACCTCATTTAAAAACTAACAACTTTATTAAGAAGCCGGACATTTCGGGACGTTCCTTGTCCCGTTGCCAGCGATCAATCGAATGGCTAAGTAACAACAAACCATCGGGTCATTCACGTGATCTTGCGTTAATATTGACATTCCTCGTTCTACCAATGATGATTCGTTCGTAGATCACGTGAAGGAACAAACCTACATGACCTTTCGTGCCAGCGAAACAAGATCAATATCGACCTAAGATCACATGAGCACCAAAGAACATCGATATTGACACAGGATCACATGAATAACCCTACCCTTTTGCCGATAGTTTCTTCTTACTCAGCTTTTTGATTAATCGCTGACGACGGAACAGTGTAGGTCCCGAACCTCTGGTTTCTCAAACATTTCAATTTTTCAATAAACGTTTCGTACTGTCAACGAGTTCTTGCCATGCGGAAGAATGCGCTCGAGTTAAGCAAAGCTTCGTTTCTCAACTAGTGTTGGTCTTCAGTTGGAGATATATGACACGTAGTTCAGTCAAATACCGATGAGCTTGCGTCAGTTTTATTTGGTATGAATTCCAACATTAATCCGCTTCCTGAGCTTTCGCGTAGCATATCGAAATCATAATGTATTAGTACTTCATTCAACTTGTGAAAGTGTTTTCACATTATCACACAGTTCTTCAACTTTTGCTTGGCAGCGCCCCAAATGTCGCAAGGGTCGTTTGACCGCTGCAGTTTCGTCGCGGGCGTTCCATTGTCGGTTCTACACGGTCGTTTGGAGAGCCCAAGGCGCTGATTCGACCATGAGTACTTTTTATTTCAGGGTCCATTGGCCTTTTAGCGCTGACTGAGCTGAACTGACCAAGGTCAAACATGTACGGTTCAGCACAACCGTCAGCCTTCCAGGCCCCTTGAGAATCACTGCATTATGAACTTAGACTTAAATATCAGAAAAATACGTAGCACTACTTTTCTAGTGAGACTCAAATTTTTGGTAGATTCAATTAAGGAAACGTGTCATTCGTTACAACAGATCATTGATTCTTACAATCATTCTCAATCTATCCGCTGAAGACGGGTTTAGGCCTAATCCGAAAGCTCCGGAAATAAACTTATTGAATGCTACACAGGACAATTTCCGCAACAACCTCTACATGGTAATGTTGCATGCGTACTGAGATAGGAAGCTACCTTTTAGCTGCCCATGTACTTCATAAAATGAAACAGGAAAGTGCAGATATGACTCGATAGTAGCGACGTGACCATTCACGTGAACAGTGGTTAAAGACTAATGAAGGCGTTTCGTCTGTTTCCGCTGTTGCCTTTTAGGACCCCTATAAATATTTTCCATAACAAAAAGAAACTTCCTCTGCATTATTAATAATAGCACTTTCTTGCTTACTTGCCAGTAATTAGTATCAGTAGTGTTCAAAGGAAGTTACGGTACCAACTGCTAGAACAGTAATCAATTACTGTTCAGTTTAACCATTTAACCGCGCATATCTGAGCATGGGTGAACACTAACTTTACGAACAACGTGGCCTTTGGCTGCAGTGACGAAACGTACTACTACAAGTTAATTCGCCAATTTGTCATGCAAACGTATACTTTCCTTTCCTTGAGATGGGGGCAAATTTGCCATCCCGCTTGACATAACGTAGCACTGTTGATAAAAAGGAAGCTACTTGAGTAGTTAAGTCCATAGCTCAGGAGAATGGCTATAAGGTGGTTTCTGCATGCACAGGTGAAAAC